AAAGCTGCCAAGGTTGAGACACACTGTTCTAGTCCAACCCCCTCCCAGAAGAGGAACCCACTGACTGTCCCAGACAAATGGTCGTCCAACCTTTGACTCTCTAAAAATGATCTTTGGATATGGGCAAGAAAGTGATGTTCCTTCAGATACTGTGGCCTCAGCCATGCAGGACTTCAGAAGTTTTAGACCTTGTTTGGACTTGCTTGAAAAAACAACAACACTGGGATAGCTACAAGATGTTTTTAAAAATCGGCTCAATGGATGGAATATTCTGCCATGCAGCTGGGCAAGACCAAGGAAGCAAAAGCTAGAAAGATTTCAGGAAGATTTCTGTAATGTTCGTTTGGGGTAAATCTTGGAAATTAATCCAATGTGGTGGCTGTGGCTGCCAGTTAAAGCCACGTCACTTTTTATGGGTGCTGTGCTTGTGAGGCACATAAGAGGGACGGGGCTTTGATCATTCAGCCTCGGTGGCCATCTTGATGTTTTGGAACCCTCTGTAGATACCCTTGGTGGGCCTCCAACTCTCGTAATTCCTATGCTGGCCAGGGGTGATAGGTACTGTAGTCCAACACACCCAGAGGCACCAGACACCATAAGTGGATAAGATGGCGTCGCTTGATCAGTTCTAATGCCCTCATCACATGCCACAACATGGCTGTCATGAGAACCTCAGTTCCAATCACAATTAAAACTATTTCCTGTGCCGCCCCCCTTAAATCAAAATATTTTTTTAAAAATGGCTGAAACCCATGATACCCCCAAACCCCTGGGATTTCAGTTACTTTGTGCAAGTTTTTTGGGAGGGAGTTTGATGTTCTCAGATGATTTCCAGAATTCTCATAGGAGGTCTCACCAAAACAAGCGATGGGTTAAAGTTCTTGAGATGGCACAGTTGCAGCCAGGTTGAGTAGAGAGAAGCATCAGGACTTCAAGAAGTTGTCAAGCCCTGGCTTAAACTGTTGCGTCCTTAAATTATTAAACTGCATTGCAGATTGCTTGTGAACAGTGGTACACAAATACTGTAAGTTAACTTCAGTCTAATCAGAGAGACATGTCATCTGGACACGGCGCTCAGTTATTTTGCAAATTTCCCTTCCTTCCTCCAGCTTCCTCTCTGGACTTAGAAGATCATACTAGATTTTTTTTTGGGGGGGGGGGGTGTTACCTTGTTGTTTAATAACCTTTAGCAAGTTTAGCCTTCTTGTTTGCCAAATCAAAAATCAGAGGTTGGAAGGCTTTGGGTGGGGTGGTATGTGATGGGGGGTAATAGTGAGAAGGAAGAATCCTTGGGCCCTGGACTCAAATTCCTCAGAGATGGAATTGGAAAAGGGTTCTGATCCGGTAAAAGCACCTGATTAAAGCCTAACTCTAATCCAGGGTTTTAACTGAGGCTATTAAACCCATTTGCTTCTGCCGTAAAAGCCATCCATTAAGGACCATCATCAACCTTGAGGCCTGAGATGTGCTGGATGGAACTGTGCACATGAATGTGATTGGAAGAGCATGTGTCAATTTCACGTGGCTAGAAAGAGGCTCTGCAAGCATGGTTGGGTTGACCTGGGGGTTGTTCTGCAACTGGGAGCCCTAAAAATACTTTGGAGGAGCAAAGATTGGAATGGTTTACGGCTCTGCGAGGTGCAACCATAGTCGCGGCCTGCGCTTCAGATGGCTAAATGAGTGGACGAAGCAATCGAACATTACTCTAACGCTCTCCCAAATGAACTTGACCCGAGCTATTGTAGGTGCTTGCCAAAATATCCATTTTTCCTTTCCAACTCTATTACAAAGATGGGTTCCCTTCTCTGGGGAGAACAAAGGGCCAATGAGCATCCCACAAAGACGATTCTCTGACCCGAAAAGGAGTTTATTCTTCCTCTCCTGATCCTTTCCCACATTTTAACAGAGGAGGACATTGGTTTGCACCCGCCTGGACGGCCTTCAGATGGGATGGATCTGCAATTCCCAGAATGGACAGCCTACACAGCCTTTCCTCTTTGAGTCGCGTCTTGTATCCTCGGAGCCAGAAATAGCTGGAGACTTTTCAGCCAGCCAGCACCCTTTTCCATGAAGGACGGGCAGTGGAAGCGTGAATCATATTCCCCCGAAGATAAAATAAACAAGGAAATTAGCTTTCGAATTCCGTGAAGATTCATGGAAAAAGAAAAGGAGAACAGTCTTCTGCAGCTTGAGTCAGAAGGACAGAATGTGGAAAGTTTCATAGTTTCCTCTTTCGATACCGATTTCACAACTGTGTTTGTGTGAGAAATTATTGTGTTTACTGAACGTATTCGTCTTACATTCCATTCAATTCCCTTGCCAGCCATCACTGCTTGCGTTGCGTTGCATAGGTTATTTCTGCTACAAAGACTACCTTGGCCGATCCTGAAATCTCAGCAAAAAAAGTCTTAAAGGACCCCACTCCTTCCTTATTACTATCAAGAGAGCAACACGAAAATGGAGAAGAAGTACCCAGCTGAACTCTAAGGAGAGCTGACTCTTCACTTACGAAAATGTAGGATGGTTTGCGAGATCATGGCAGGTTGGCCTGTCCCACCCAACCCCTCCACATCCAGGGGCTGATCTGCAAGTGGAAAGAGAGTCAGCTGGAAGATGT